CCCCCCCCCCCCCCCGTTGCTCTCGCCGCCGCCGTTCACGTAGATTCCTCATGCAGGCGGCCCTGGACATCCCGATGACGGTGTACGGCACGGGAGGCCAGACTCGAGGATTCATCCACGTCACCGACACGGCCAAGTGTTTGGAGGCGGCGGTAGTCAACCCCCCGGGAGCAAACGGCCCCGTCGAGATCTTCAACCAGGTAAGCAAGCGAGATGGTTCTTGTGGGTAGGTTGGAGGCACGCGTTGTCGTTTGATTCGCCCCTTCGCAAGCAAGCAGAGAGAGTGTGCATCGAGGCCTGTCGTGGGCACGTTGCGGGCACAAGATGTTGTGTGTGTTTGCTTGTCCCTTTTTTCTTAGATATGTCGTTTTGCTAGTCGTCGTGGTCGTGTATCTATGCCGCTGTGATACTGTTGCCTTGACCGATGTCGTTGTCAAGCCGTCGTTGTATTTTGTTGTTGTTTGCCATACCCATGTTGTCGTTTGCTTTGGTTGCCGTGCTCTTGTTGCACCACCTTGCTTGTCGCTGCTGCCGAGCGCTTCTTCCTCGTGGTTTGTTCAACACACGTACGTTGGCATGTTGTTCGTTTTTGTTTCACCCGCAGGCCAGCCGACCGTCTTTTTCTTATTTTTCTTCGTTGTTTTGAGACTATTTAAGTACGTACGTGAGTGTCGAACGAACACCACGTCAAGGAAGCAAGTACCACACGTTAGCGTTGTGTGTGAACAGTTGCAGTAGCTGCGACCAGCACGCAGCAACATGTAGTTTTACAGCATTGGAGCCATGTCGTGGGGGTGTCAGCAGAGGTGCAGAGCAATGCAGACCGCATAGAACGCCGAGCCTCAGGTTGGGACCGACGTTGGCATGCACATGTGTGCGGCACGCGGGCTTTCAACCAAGAAAAATCCAGAAAATATATAGCCGCCGCCTGTATTTGATCAACCCAAGCACGAGGCAAAGGCGATATGACACCTCGGCTGGCCGGGTGTACGTAAGATCAGGACACAGGTAGTCCAGTCTCTGGGCGTAGCGAGTCGTAGGTGTGAAGGCGCTGAGATGGGTGAGCTCTGGGACACGGGGTGGGATGCCGTCAAGAGATCCGCATGTTGGCGAAACAAACAAATTGTTCGCGGGGTGTCCTTCCAGCCAAGTTCCTACTCAACGATCTGTGTATCGAAGAAAAGGCTCGCGACGAGCTGCCCATGATGGCGGAAACCCTGTTACGGAATGTAGCTTTTTCACTTTGCGTACAACATTTGTTGTTTTCCTATGCTTGCTTCTTGCATGTCCTCGCATCACCCCCTTGCCCACGGTGCTCTCTGAACTACTGGGGAGGTCATGTACCTTTCAATGTCTTCGGACCGGCTGCTTTCCCAGCCTTTATCATTTGGACGTGCAATATTTTTGTTTCCGGCGTCACTTCACACTCCCTCCTCTCTGCCGTTTTCTCACCTTTTTTTTTTTATTCAGGTGGCGGAAACCCACCGCGTGCGAGACCTCGCCCAGATGATCGCCGACAAGACGGGCACCAAGATCGACTTCATCTCCAACCCTCGCAACGAGGCTGCGGAGAACGAGCTGGAGGTTAAGAACGACAAGTTCGGGAACCTGGGTGTAGACTTCAAGAGCCTCGACGGGACGCTGCTGGAAGAGGTGGGGAGGAGGCGCTTGTTTCTCTCCGAATGTGTTCCGAGTTTATATCACGTAGAGTTGGTTCTGAAGTTCGCCAACGCCACGTTACCTATTGCGACCTATACATAAGGAATTTATTGAGAAGCACCTTTTCTGATGGTGTTCACCGCTCTGTAGTTACGTTCTCTCCGGCTTGATGACTGACCACACCATATTGTCTTGTTTGCTCTCCGCCGCCGCCGTGACTGAACAGGTGAGGGACATCGCGCAGAAGTACCGTGACAGGGCGGACCTGGAGCTGGTGTACCCCACTTCCTACTGGAACAAGAACCGGGTCAAGGCGGCCGCGGACGGGGAGGTGAATGGGGCGCCGGAGCCGACACGCCTCTTCGTGGATGTCAAGACGGGCGCACAATAACAACAACAACTTCTTTTTCCTTTTGTTAGTTTTTGGGTTAGGCGATGGGGAGGGAGGGGATTTTTTTTGGTGTTTTTAGGTGGGAGTAGTTTTTGGCCGGAGTTTTTTATGTATGCCGGGCAAGGGGGCTGATTTTTTTTGGGGGGGGTTGAGCGAAGGAGCAGGGCAAACGGTCACCGTGGTACGGGAATACCGCGGCAAGTTTCATCCCGTGAGCTGGTTGGCCATGTCTCGCAGCGGAATGCGGTGTGGGTTCCGTTTGATTCTATGCATACCCCGCCCAAAGCCATGCCACATGAAGGACAAGAATGGCCGGCGGAGAGGGGTAGTGTGGGTAGAGGTGATTTACCGCCTGTTTTGGTCGATTTGCTTTTTTTTTGTCTGCTGTAAAAGGGATGCCACGAAATCCTCGTTAGTTCAAAATGTGATTAACCTTAGGAAACCTGGCCGTTGTACCTGAACATGAACAACCAAACATGGGGTAGAGGACCACGACTACGGCGTGCGTTTTGTCGCTTGACTCCTCGTCAGCGACACGGAATTGGTGCCGCGTGGAATGTTCGACCTCAACACAGCAGTGGCGTGCAGCACACATCCATGCTGTGGTGTTTGCGAGCATGTCCATGGTCAAACGGTCCCCGTTGTGCGACACATACGTTGGTACTTACCTTCATCGAAGGCCTGCGGCGAGGTGGATACGATATTAACGTGGAATACAACAGAGATCGCCCGGGTCGCGGATGATGAACATTTACCCGTTGGTTCATGGATCATGTACCAACCTTCCGCTCTTTCATAATGCTGTCGACATATTGGTAGGGACTGTTACAGCACGGCCACACGTCTTCAAAGCACGCCCGCTGGCCAATTGGCATGAACACGTGTCCTGCGGCGAGGTGGATATAGGGTACGTTAATGCCGCGGTTCAGGTTTTGGTGGTGTGGTGGTTCTGGTGGTGGGGTGGTTCTGGTGGTGGGGTGTGTGGTGGGGGGGTTGTTTGGATACCCCCTCGGGTGTTTTTGTTTTAAGTTTGACGAAAGAATGAGAGACAGCCACTGCTGCTGTAAGACTGAAACACTTTGTGCCAGCCCAACTCCCAATCAATCGAGACCCTGGCAGCGACAAATACACCCGTGAGACTGAAACACATTGTGCCAGCCAAACAATTCCATCCAGGGTCATCTGCTGCCATTCACGTGCTATCGTTTGTTTCTATACTATCGCCCAAAACTCACCAATTTGTTCTGCGCCAACACGACGAAACTGGCCAGCATGCTGTGCGGGACCACCGATTGACGTTGAGGTTGACTGCCGTGCCAATGGTCTTGCCAACGGTATGCGACCCTACATAGTAAGTAAATACCATGGCGTGCAGCAAACATGCAACCTGTGGCGTGTCTGAGCATGACCAGTCTTCCCGTCGTACGACACATGTGTCATGCCTTCGAATGCTTAATCTATATTCGACAGTCTGTGCCTGGTCGGCTGTTGGCTGTAGAATGAAAGACCGGCTTCGAAACATTTACCCGTCGGATCCGGGTCCTTCGACCGTCCACCCCTTTTCTGCTGTCAGTCGGCGCCACCACACACTGGGATATGTCTTCAGAGTACACTCGTTGGCAAAGTGACGTACGTGACTTTTGTGCATAGGTATAGGCTTGCGGTGAGGTAGATACAGGACATGTGATGTGGCAATGGTTTCGGCGGTGTGGCAGAGTGGTCATGGCGGGTTAGATTCCCCCCCGGGTCTTTCGGGGAAACAAGGATGGCCAAATCCATCCGTGAGACTGAACCGCTTGGAGCAGCCAGAACTCCCTATCAATCAAGACCACGCTGCAAGGGACAAATCTTATGATGAGACTGAAACTCTTTTGCTGTCGCCAAACAAATTCAGGGTCTGTCATTGTCCCCGGCGCTCACGCTCGTGTCGACACCCTTTCGCCAGAAATGCACCAATTTGTTCTGCCCCAAAACGCCGAAGGAAACACTCGACGTCACCGTGAAAATATTTCAGCTCCACAGCTGCTTGTAGTTCATCTGCGAGATTCCTATCACGAACCACAGACAACCAAACGCTAACTGGGTGGTGGCTGCGGCAGCTGTAGAAAGAAGCAGAACGCGTGCTGCATGATAGATGGTGCACGATGCATGTTGCCTTTTCCTTGTGAACAGGACCGAAAGGACCCTCGACACAGCAGAAGTCAACCTGCTTCCACCACGACCATCGTACGAAAACACGCAGAAACAAACCAGTTCTCACGCCACAGCAAGCGATAGTTTCTCAATCAACAGCAGCGAAAGGTCTTGAAATCATCTCAGCTAGAGCGAACTGCTCGTGTTTCTCCAGGGTTCGCAGGGTGAGCTGAGACCGGCTTTTGAGACCCGATCGGTCAAGGGGACGGCCATGCATGCGAACAAGCGACGCCGGAAACCAAGTCTTGACAACGCTGAGAGAGAGACTCAAGCTCTACCGAGCTTGGGAAATAAACTCTTTATGCCGGTCCCATTTTTCGCCTTTCGATACAATTTCTGGACGTACCAATCGGGATCACAAAGGAGGAAGGAGTTTTGTTGTTGCCTTCCGCTCATTGCCAGCGCCAGAGAGAAATGGCGAGTTCCTCTCCGCAAGTAGTGCTTTCCTCACATCCATGCGATTTAGAAGCACATGCCATGATAAGCAAATTTGTCGCCCTCTGAGGGAGATTCGAACCCGAGACCAAGAGGACTACCACAGTTGATCCTCACGAGGGCGAAAAAGATCTAAGCACATCGTCAATATGGCGACGCGCACTCCCAGTCTCTTGGGAGAAGACGGCGTAGGCACGACACCTCGAACTTCGAGATATAAAATTTCGATATTGGAATCACAATGTGGATCTCGAATTCGGTAGTGAACATCATGCGGACCCACCGAGCGACAGGTGGAAGGAAACTAGTGGCAACGATGCCGGCTTTCCTTAGGCCACCCGCTCGTCCGTCAGCACCACACTCTCACTCCCAGCACTCATCTTCCCCGAGGGATATCTACAACACCATGCATGCATCCCGGCGCATGTACTTACTCACACCATCATCCATGATATCACATTCTTTATACCTGGTGATGAGTGTGTCGATTTGGGCCTCCACCATGGGAGATTACCCTTTTACTCGCTTCCCCTTTTACAGGGGTTACTCGTGACCCTGCTCACGCCCAATCAACGCCGTGAGGTACACACGCACTCCCCACCGCCCGCCGCCGTGTAGCCGGACATGCGAAGTACTTCCTGTCCATCGTGGTCAACTCCCTGCCCCCAAAGCGCTCAGCGGCCCCACGCTCAGCGTAACCCACCCTCAGCGTACCCCGCCCTGGGCGTACCCCGCCGAATTTTCTACATTCCCTTGTTCTGCCGACCATCCTCCAACACGTGTGCTGCGTCAGAAATGAATGCAGACGGCTACACACACAGGTTTCTCAGAGGGAAGCATTTGCCGTGCCCCAAAAGGGCGTTACGCTATAGAAGAATGATACTATTTCCCTGATGTCTCGAGGAAAAAAAAACACGAACAACCTGAGTGGTCATGTGCAAAGTGAATTACGAGAACACAACAAACTCCAGGAGCACAAGGCTGGCATGTAACAAACAAAAAAAAAGATTGCATTGCTCACATGCGAGATACAACAGCAAGTCAGGTACAAAAAAAAAAGCTAGACACAAAGAACAATGCGAAACACACGCCGCAGACAAGACAGGACAGGTGGACCAACATATAAATGACGAACGAACCTCGGCGGAAAAAAAAAGCTATTTAGAGCCTGATGTTGAGAGCCGCCGTCCTCGCCCGAAGCCCTTCGACAGCGGAGCTAGCCCCACCGCCAGCGCCCCCCTCCTGGGCGGCACGGGTGCCGGTGAGGACCAAGGAACGGAGGCCCCGCAGGCCGGAGAGTCGCGCGACCCCCGCCCCGGTGACGGCGGTGCCCCTGAGGGTAAGCGTGGTCAACCGCGGCAGCGACGCGACGGCGTCCATGGTGTCGTCGTCGATGCTTGTTTTTTTTTAGTCGAGATGGTAGGAGGAGGGCGGGGAGAGAAAGGGGTCGGATGATTAGATACCGCTGAGAATAAGAACGCTTAGCTTAGATGTGTACTCGCTTGTTGAAAACTGAGCTTGATCTTGCGTCTATACTCACTCGGTGAAGGCTAAGTTTAGATCTATACTCACTTGGTCACGAAGGCTAAGCTTACACCAATACTCCGTTGGTGAAGAATACGTACATCTATCATCGCCGACCCCAGAAGCTCTACTCCCTTCGTGAAGGCTAAGTTTAGGATCTAACCTCACTTTGTGAAGGCTATAAGCTCAAGATCTACTTGGTGCAGGCTGCAAGCATAAAACTATATACTCCGTTGGTGAAGGCACCAAGCCTAGACGAATTTTCACTTCGTGAAGGCCATACGATTGACACCAAAACTCACTTGGTGTGGGCTAAGCTCAGATCTATCACGGCCGACCCCAGAAGCCCTAGGCCCGCCGCCCTCGCCACCGAAGTGCTGCCGAGGTTGAGCACCCTTAGGGCGTTGCAGGAGGAGCACACCGCCGTCAGAGCGTCGTCGTCGAACGCCGGGACGGCGGCAACGCTAAGCCATTGCAGTCGGACGAGCCGGGCGAGACCTTGGGGGGAACGGGGCGGGGTTTCAAAACAATTAGATCGTCGAACGCGTCGGTGTGACATCCTTCGGTCTGACAGGGGGGAGCGGGACCCACTCACTCGACGACCCGGGTGCAGTGCCTACACACGACGACGAGATACAGCAACAACAAGATTTGACACGGCTGAGATGTAGATTTGTGAAACAAGGAGACACAAAGTGTCGGTTCGGTGTCGTGGTTGACAAATAACAACACGCCAACACGGAAGAACCACAACAATAACCTGACAAGACACTCGCGAGGGGACAACCCAACATCCCAACCACCCACGCTTCTCACCCGCGAGAGCCTGAGACGTGACCCCGGGGCCCCGGCACCCCTCCAGGTCCAGCCGAGTGAGGCTCGTCAGCCCTACCAGCGCCGAAAGCCCAACGCCGGTGATCCCCCCCCCGCCATGCTGCAGCACCAGGGACTCGAGCCTCAGCGGCGCCGGCCTCCTCCGCCCGACCACCGCCCCACACACCCCGGCTTCGCCGGAGGCGGCGGCGGTGGAGGAAGGGTCTAGGAGACGCAGGAGGCCGCTCTCGGTGGTGGACGTGCCGGAGACGTCTAGCTCCCGTAGCGAGGCCCGCAGCGGCCGGGAGGCTCCCAAGCGCGCGAGGCCCTGGTCGGCGACGCCAGGGCAACGGGACAGCGACAGCACGCGCAGACTCGACGAAGCCGGTGCCTCCTCCTCAGTGCCAGCAGGAGAAGCACCACCGCCGTCGGATGATGATGATGCTCTCGCGGCCGCTGCCCTAGCCGCAGCAGCTCTCGCCGCTGACGCCGCGGGCGCTGCAGCAGGTGCTGCTGCCTCCAGACCGTCGCCATCCCCCAGGAGGAGGGCGTCCAGGCCGTCGTCGGACAAGCCGACGAGCCCGTCGAGCCGGAGACACTCCAGCTTGCCCCCGACCACCATCGACGACAGGTGCGCCACCCCGGCGTCCGTGACCCCGGTGCAGCCCGCCAGGTCGAGGCACGTGAGGGAGGGCGCCCCCCGAGCGAGGCCAAGGATTCCGAGATCCGCAACCTTAAGTGTTTTTCGTACGAAACAAAACAGCCAACACGGCGTGTTTCGCAAGGGGAGGGGGGTCAAGGCGCGTTTCGCAGGGGAGGGGGGTTGGGGGGATGCATGTTCCCGGGGCGGGGTTACGTGGCATGAGTAGAGGGGGCGTGATGCGATTTGTATGTCATGTGTGCTCGAGAAAAACTCGGCAAACGAGAGTCCAATTGTAACCGTTTGGTGAGTGACAGGTGCGCGGAAGGGAGTCGAAACGTGCGATAAC